TGGCCCTACTACATCTTAGAAAAATTGACTATTTTATACGCAATGTTTAACTTTATTGGATTTCTTTTCTCACTTTTAAAAGGAATCTACAACACATGTGCTATACACACACAAGTAAACAGACAAGCAAGCGTAGCACGCATACTCTTTGCAGGATTTTTTGGAATCTTTTCTACATCTATAAACAAAATTCTTTTAGACGCACAAATAAAAGAATATAACACAAAAATAGCAACACGACAAAATACATACGACGAAGAACATAACAATGTAGACATAACGCCAACGGCACCACAATTACCACCCCTACCAAATAACCATCCACTATCCCTAGTCCCACGAAATTTTCGAAATTTAGCCATCACACATAATCCAAATTTTCGACACACCACATCACAAAGTCCCATCCAACATATAATGACACACCAGTCACAAGATGATAATACTTATGAACAAATTATTGAACAACCCCATACCACCGCTTTTCAGTCTCAAAATAATCATTTTTTTAGCCCACGATGAGCCGCCAACTTGGATCACTACACCGATCAAATTCCCACCCAACCAATCTTACCTCTACAATCCCAATAATACCACTTTTTGCTTTTCCGCCACCCGATTTTCCATCTAGTAATGTAACATCAGGCATGAATTCCGACACTAATTCACACATCTCAGTTTTATATTCCATCTCACAACTCAATAACCCGAATATTGAAACCCCCGATGAATTTGCCGACTCAGAACCATCCCCATCCAATAATTTTCATAACTCTTCTAATTTTTCTCAACCCCCTTTTCAACCCATATTATCCAATAACCCTGACCCAATCACTTCCACACCCTCTTATGCTTCCCAAGTTACCCCAACCTACTCCTCATACCATTCTGACCAATCATCTCATTCTCCAGACACCCCCCGAATCTCCCCAGAGCTAGATAATTTTATTACCCTCCAACAACAACCCTACCACCTTAATACCCCAACCATAAACCAAATCTCCTCCACTATAAATTCATCCAACCCCCCTACCCCTACACCCTCTTCAAATTATACTGAATCATTAGCACCATCATCCACATCAACTGAATCTTCACTCAACACTAATAGAGCTTACCGCACCTTTAAAAGAAAGTTCCCCAACCATCCTTTCCCAGCAAAACCAGGAACAGCCCGTGAATACATCAACCACCCCAAGCATACTAACACAAAAGAATTTTTAGCTATCACCTTACCCTCATTTCCACAATACACCTTAAACACCCCCCACGACACTAACGAAACACGCAACTTTGTAGATGAATACGTTTTAATGCCCACTCTCTCTTGGACCTCATATTATCATTTTACTAACCCTCTTTGCTTACCTTTATCTAACACTCACATCGATATAGAGCGAAACACGGACATGCTATATCGACTCACTACACCACTAACCGCTAGACAATTTACTTACGTTGGATATAAAAAATCACTAAAAACACACACTGCACCTAGAGCTAACGAATATACACTCGAATACTATGATCACAACATCATCAGAGCTAACCAAGATCAATTCTTAGACGACGATCGCTTCGCTAATCCACAAATTACCGAGAAATTTTTCATCAAGACACCATATATATTTACACTAAACATCTTCGACCGAAAGTTTGATCACATTATTTCAGAAGCACTAACAGACACACAAGCATACGAAAGTTTTAAAGAACGCTTCCAAATATTTTCACTAACCTTTCATTTCCTTGCACCACACGAAAGAGATCTGCACTGCTCACACGATATTATGTTGCGCACTAAACAAACCCACACATATAGTTATTATCGCTTCATCCAAAATCACTTTGACCTACACGCACCCTCTAGACAACCACACCATCGTTTTCAATTCATTAATTCCAAATACACTTCACCATTTTTCCTAAATTTCACATATTGTATTAAAGACACTAACCTCCATGGTATTCTTCGTAATTATGACCCCATAACCCAAATGTACATCTTCTGTCCCATCACCAAGACCTTCAACGCCGAAGAATCCCGACCCTTCCTTATCCCGCACGAGTTTGTACAACCTATAGAAATCCCAATTTTAGAATTCATCCACAACACTAAATTCAATCACAAATTATATAATCTAATCCAAAACACACCTTATGAGTTTGCAGTTGGCACTGAAGAACTAACCACTATTAAGGCACTTCAATTGCTTTGGCCACTGCTTCAGACTAAAAATATCATCCGCATCTTAGCTAAACTACTAACAACTTCCGATCTCATCCACGACATCTTCCCCCACGGTTTTTTCCCCGACGACTAACAGGTAAGTATGAATTAAATGAATATTACTAACTAATTAAAATATTAAAAAACTCACCATACTTTATCCATGTTTTCTTTAGATTTTTAGCCTTCATCCGACAATCACCTACAAAAACCACAAAAGACAAATAAAAATCGCAAATTTCATCAAACAGATTTCAAAAATTCTATTAATCTCTTACACTTATAAATTTATAAATTTAATATCAATGCAGTAAATTCATTTCTAAAATTTTCCCCACAAGCAGTAAATCTAATTACGATGAAAATTTGTAACTTAAAATTCCTCCATAACTAGCAGTAAATTTCCAAATTCTATGTAGTAAATTAAATAAATGCAAATGCAGTACTAACCTTTTGATATTTTCATTCATTCGCACAGAAATTCGATCCACACTCGCACAGCTCGCCCACGAAGAATTGTTTAAAATAATGAATTTCAGTTTCAAGTTTTCACACTCAACAACTCTAACATATAATAACATGTTTCAAACTTTCCTTTAACCCGGTTGGAAAGGAATTATATATTAAACAAAACTAACCAACGCAGCTTACTAAATACCACAAATCATAGAATAACAGCATGACTTAGAAAAGGAAACCAACGGTACCCAAACCGGATTAACCCAGTTTAAAACTGGATAATTTATTCTTTTGAAGACTATTATAAAGTCTAAAAAAAAATAATAAAACACAAAAAAGTCGAAAGACAAACCCATACCACAAACAATTTGATTTTTGAAAAAAGGACACAACCAACAAAACATAAGTAAGACCACAACAAACCCAACATAAAACGTTGTCACATAACAGGACCCCTCACAAAAACCGCATGAAATCATACTCCCACTCCTGGCCTAACCCACCAGGAAGGACGTCCTGAGCATGCTCTATAGCCGGCCTAACCCACCGTGCTACATCCACGCTTTGTGACCACACCTTTATTTTTAATAAGAGCTACTCAAGTGTGAGTAACTCTTCAAAATAACCGAACTAAAACAAAAAGCTTTTGTGAAAACAACTAACTAAAATCATTATTAAAAAATATTAAACTAATAAAAGTTTTATAAAATGTAAAATCACATGATGCAATATATAGATCAGAATACAACACCAAGGACGAACATCAAAAGACAAGACGACCCCACTACACTCGAGAGAGAATGACCAACTACAATCGATATGCCGCTCACAATCACAACTCAAAGGATTTAGAGTACGACTTGACCTCGCAGAAAAGGACTTCATTGAACTAGACCAATGACCACCTCGATGTTCAAGTATACGTACAGATCCGAGTAACCAGGCATCCCCTCCACGCACAATCTCCACGCCATTCCCAAACTAGATCATACACAAAAGAAGTTCTCCACGCAGAACAGAAAAACCTGACATAGCAAACCATTCTGAAATCAGATTTGAGTTTGTTGCAAAGACGTAGTCGTTGTCACTAGAAGACACAACGTCTTATGTCTCTAACTCCAACTTCCTGGAACTTCCCTAACAAAAGAGGAAACGGAAGAAAATGATGTTCGCCGAAAACCAACGTCCTTCATCCATCCTTCGAATTGCAGAAGAACTATTCTAAAAAACTCTGTAAAACCCGGATGGGTGGAACCTGATCTAAACTACATTTTATGATTGGATAAATTAGATATTTTACCAATGTAAAGTATTTAATATTAACCAATCATGATCCATCTAACTAACAACCCACTTATTTGTAAGTGCTGAAGTTACTTGTAATTTCAGCACCAGAGAGATTTGAATTTAACTTAGAAATTAGTTGGACTCTCCCGAGCACTTCAGCAGCCGCAATAAACCAGTATACCCTAGATCTATTGAGCCTAGCAGAGACTAGTTAAACAACCTGAGACTAGATAGTATAAGAGTAAGATTAGGATCGGTATTAGACTAAGAAGTTGCACGAATCTATCCGGCCGAAAATAAGATAGCGTGACGAGCAGACGGTGTACCCTATCCGAAATTACTCTATGAGTTATACAAACCAGTCATAACTCAATTTATTACAAAATTGAAATTATCAAGAAACATTGAACTTTTCAAAGAACGATTCATTTCTCTTTGTCATTGGCGGTTTTTTTTCTCATTTTTTTGTTCTATTTTCGAAGTAGCTTTTGGATTGATTTTGGTATGCTTGGTCAACTATATATTGGTATTTTTTTCTACTTTCGTAAAAGAAAAAATGTTCTCGACTGTACTGGACCTAAATCAGATATCCACTATCAAAATTTGGTATACCTCGAAATTCCCGACTTTATCGACTGTGGAATAAGTGACCTCGAAATATAATTCGACTGGGCTCTTACTGAATATGTTTCGACTTTGTAATGAACTTAATACAATTTTTCGACCGTAATTTTTAGTCCTCAGAGCTCCATTTTTTTTTACTTTAATTGTCGAAAGATAGCTCGGGTAGCTCTCGAATAATTTAACGACATACTCTTTTTTAAAATGGCGTTGTGGTGCATCGGTAGTGATGCTGCCCAGTAATCATATGATTGCGGGTTCAAATCGAACATGCGCTGCAATTTACAAGAAGAGCGCTTCTAAGAGAGCCATAGCTTGATTAACCTTAAGTAGTTAAACTCCGGGTTAGGCTTCTGGCTGGTTAACCAAATTTGTTTTTGAAAAAGTATTATAAACTGTTCAGGTGATCACAACCAACCTCGACATCCTCATAGAAAAAGCATACGAAGATTTGACAGGTGAGAAACCACGAGTCATAGTGGACCACGAAGACTTCGTCGCTCTCGCTGAGGAACTCGAGGTGTCCGGAACTCCAAAATGTGCAACTGTAGTAAAACCCCACGGAACAATCGATACCCAATACGAAGACCCCGAAAGACGCTACAAATCAGGAATTTATTTCCGTTTATTTCTTCCCGCTGTTGGAGGTAGTTCAAGTTCCAATCACTTTTTGTAATTGCAATAAAATGAATAATCTTTCAAATTAACAAACTCAATTTCAAAATGAACATTTAAACGGGAATTACGAAACGGGAGCGCTCTAGAAATCTTTCTGTTGGTTTTGCTGTCTGTAATGGTTCATTTGTTTGGTTAAGTTTGATTAATATATTCGAAAGTGACGAGAAATAACCGGAAATGATGCCAAATCACAGTGAGAGTGTGTCTGGACCAAGTGGGCTTGGGATTGACCAAGGAGTGCAGGGGAGCTGTGGAGCACTACATCAAGACCACGCCCATGGTCTTCATGGGCTACAGTGGGTGTGACCACTTCTCACTCACTCCTGTCTTGACTGTCACCCCCACAGAGCATAAATCAGTCTGGCTATTCCACGATTGGACTGAAGAAGGTATGATTTCTTTTCCTTGTACATTTTTTAAAAACTGTTTCGAAAACTCGTTTAAAGATGCGTTTTGAACGTTTGTTGCATAGAATTTTCCAATGCGATGTGTAGAATTGGAAAATCTACTGCAAACTCGACTAATTGCAAAGTCGTCGTGGACATCATCATCACCTTTCGTTTATAAATGGTTTTGCGCTACCATAGTTTAATGCCCCAGTCGAGTGCTTTGTAGCCTAAGATGAACGAATCAGGACAATCAAAAATTAGACAAAATTCAGGTTTGAACTTCATTATCGAATCTTTACAAAAACCGAAATTTAAATCTTTATATACATGAAGCAAATTCCTCGACCCTCATAGGCCCCTGCATAGCACAAATAAAGACCTGCAAGAAATCGGTCCGCTAGCTCGTAACAATTTCCCGAGATCTCGCAAAATCACCAATTGCCTATGTATTAAGATAGCTATAAAAAGTCTAAGCACCCCCAAGACTAGGCACCCACAGAAGTCATCATTTTTCATAAGATGTCATGATTTGATGTCATCATCATCTTGCATAAGCTGAATAGTTAGCCTGCAGGAAGTCGGTCCACTTGGAGATAGCAACTTCCTGAGATCTCGAAAAATCCCTGTTGCCCATAAATTAGGAAAAAAACTTTCCGTGTCCCTCGCCAAAACAGTGAACAAAATTTAAGTCCGACCATTTTTAGTACTCTATTATTAAACAGATGCAACCTTAGAAGACCCAGAGATCAGAAGTTACAGATATACAGCGCTGACAAAAACCCTAAGTAAATTTTTCTCATCCCTGACTTCTGGAAGTCGTTTTTTGTCAACCACTGAACGCAGGAAGCCAAAACGTTGGAATATGATAGATAAGAACACGATTCTTTGTATGTCATTGTTATAACCAATGCCAATGATTGAGACGAAAGTTTTCAACACTGGGTAAAAACACCCCTTAGACAGGGAAAGGGACAGTTCACGCAAAATAATGAGCGAGGGCATAATGATTTTATTGCAAAAAAGACACTAGATGAGAACCCCGATGAAAAGATCCCGTTCCAGTAAAATTCTTCCGGTGTCTCCTCCCTGTGTTAAGTGCCTTTTTCCGGATAGAAATGGGGTCACTTGGGAAGTATTAATGGGATATGGATGCAACTTGGCATGTAGGAGCCCCTTGAGATTATAAACCCGAATGTGGACGTTTGACTCCTGGTGAGTGACTCCGGGTCCGGGTGAGCCCAGGGTGAATTTTAAGCGACCTATAGGCGTTTTTGAACAACATTGCATAGAAGATCCCGAGGTTTACCCTGGAAAGTGGCGTATTTCGCAGCCCCATCTATTTGGAAATTAGAATCGGTCACTTTACTAAAAAATTTAAGGAAACTTATCTATTGGGAACTGAGACAGAAGATGAAAGGGATATAGTTTTTACAGTGTAACCTTAAAGTAATTAAAATGGACTCGGTAAACATTGAGTTGAGCTTAGCTTAACGATTGATCTATTAGAAGATAATAAATCGGACTATAGGAAAATAATTTGCAGAAATAGTAGCGTGGCATGTGAAGTAGGTCTCCTTTAAAAAATGAATGAACGGAACTTTTACTTAGCTCCCTGGAGATAGCTTTTTTGCTCAATTTGATGCCTATTAGGCAAATTACGTTACTCTGATAGCTAGAAGTTCGGGAATAGATGAGAAATTTTATTGGAAACTTAGATGCGTGGAGCGTGTTGGTGACGCACGAAAAGTATTTGTGCCATTCTGCCAGACTGACACAGTGCAACCTTCCGACGAAGCACGAATCAGAGAGAAAAGGCCTTAACAGCAAAAAAGTGCTTGGAAGGAGGGTCGGAATGTTCTAGAATTTTTATTTTTAAAATTTCGATTGGAAGAAGAATATTTCTCAGAAATACGAAAAACGGCCATTTTGACTGAAAAAGTGACGAGAATAAAAAAAAACGACAGAGATTGTGAAAAACAGTCGTACCAGAGACGGAAAATACGAAGCCTCTTATCGTGGCAACAACGCACGATAAGACACTTGTCAACAGATATTGGTGGAGAAGGAGGCTTCAGTGGGGGAAGAAATACACCACGGAACCCTCCCGGGACACGAATTATAAGAGATAAGAGTGTTATCTCAGGAATATTACGGAAGCGGAAGCTTGGTCCCCCAAAAGACTGTTTATGTGAAGGGACTGTATAAACTAACTTTATAGCTACTGGAATGTCATAGATCTCTTAATTAACACCGTTATTGTTTGATATTTCAGAATATGAGTAGCTAGAAAAAGGAAAGGGTCAATCCATCTCCAATGGATTTAATATAAAACTGTCACACAAAAATATGTTAAAATAGGTTGTTCGAGCCGTGTTTTTAATGACAATCACGTAGTCTGAGGATCCGAGACTCAGCTATGTGGTTGTGTTCGCATGTAAACGAAAGCTGATCAAAAGTCGTTTGACTGATGGCCTAAAAATAGTAACTTTTTACTTAGCCCTAGACAGACCAGAAAATCAACTGGCAAGGTCGAGACGGTGAAAAACGAGTAGGATTAAGGTAACTGACGCCTGCCAGTCGTTAATAGGTACTTTTTCTACGCTCCGTCGCTGTGTAGTATTTGGGCGAATGTTACATAGACGTTTTTATGGCACTCCTGGGTGGGCCTGTTAAAGGCATGAAACCATCATGATCAGCAAGCGTTTCAGCGACGTACCCTCCGCTCCGGGCGTATGCCCGAGTTAGAGGCCTTAATGACCGTTGTTGTACTAGGGGGAAGGTGCGTACCCTCCGTCTAGTACAATTTAGCTTTTTAACTTAGTTAACACCGAAAATTCCGGGGGCCGGAGGGTTAGGTGGGAAATCTAGAGCCCGCTTGTCCTGAGGCCCCAGGACCAAAAACAATTAAAGAAAAAGTGTAAAACCAAACAAAAATAGTGTATAACCAAGAAAAAGCCAAAAATAATTTTATTTAAAAACAAAAAAGTACAAAAAACAGTAAAAAAAAAATCCAAGAAAGACCAAAAACAGTAAAAAAATGTAAAGTGACAGTTTATATGTTATTTCCGGACGAGATGTGATCTGACTTTCCTATTTGTTGTTGTTTCAGATTGATTTTTATCGTTTCTGATAGAAAGATTGTGTGTTTTGGTGAAGGGTTGGATACCCTCCCTCGAGTGTAATTTGAGTGTTTAAGCACGTTAATGGTGATTTTGCCGGTGGCCGGAGGGTAGAGTGGCAAGCTGATCAACGTGTTCCACGCTCAACAGGGACATCAAGGACAACATCCGCAACGACTGTTGGGTATCGTTGAAGCAATTTTAGTATCGTTCGGGTACTATTTCGTTAAAACTTAAGTGGTGGGGGGCACGATTGGCGCGGTCCGATTGTACCCTCCATCGATTACAAATTTCCGAGTTAAGGGTCTTAATTCGGGTATTTTGGTGCAAAGGAGGGTATAGTACTGTTCATTAACGACTACTAATAGGTTATTATCCTTATTACATATTACTTATCTCCTAAATTAGACCAAAAAAAAAACACCCAATTCTGTCGAAAATCATCGATTTTCGATCAAACTGTAGACCCCCAAATTTTCGGATATACGAGCTTTTCCGATAGGCAAAAAGCATTTGTATAGAGAGTAGCTACGTAGTTCGATCCCCTTCACTAAAGAAACCGCGTGAGCAAAGACTCAGTAGAAGTTAGAAAAACGGAAATTTTTCGATCAAAATTTTGATAATTTTCTGTATTTTGTCAATCTGTTTTGGGGATCGAGTTTTTGAGTTTTTAGAGTTAGAGCAATAAAATTTTTTGCGTTAGGAGCGTGCTAGCATAACGTGCTCGGTTACTGGAGAAATTTTTGGGTAACCCTCCGAGTAGCTCCGTGGATAGAGCTAACGACTTAAGGTTTGGAAAAGGAAGGAATCTGAGGGTCCAAATTTGATAGTTTTTGGTCAAATTTTTGTCTCTAAACCAATTTTGGTCCGGTTTTTTGCATTATTCCAGTGCCGTACAGGGCTACTACGCTCATTTCAAGTATTTTTAGGCACTTTCGACCGGAATTGCGAAAAAAGTCTTTCAGATCCTATACAGGTGGTGAAAAAGGCCATTTTGACGAACGCGTTTTTGGCGATTTCTCAAAGACTAGTTATCCGATCGGGATAATTTTGGTACCATAAGTCAACGTTTTTGACCACTTTTCCGAATCGCAACCGTTTTTGGGATTGACAATCTCGGAAAAAAAAATTTAGAATTTGTTGGTTCGGAGGGTCCAAATTACAGGTAACCCTCCGAGCGGCAGAAAATTTTATCAAAACATCTTTTTATTCAACTGGGGAGGTTGACCGAGTCAGCCAACCTAGTTTTAAGTCAGGTAGACCGATTTTGGAGACTTTGTTGCGGTGATATAACCCTTTTTCTTGATTTTGGGGGAACCCTCCGAAGTGACCCTCCGGAGTCAGCTAAACCCCTTAGCAACCCTCCTTAGTGGAAAATTTCCACGAGATCACCCAAAGAAGTTAAAACAGCTCCCCTTAGAGCTCCTAGCTTGTTTTGACGCTTTTTGAAGCTAGTGGGAGAACCTTCTAAGCGAGATCAAAAAATTTGAAAATTTTGGAGGTACCCTCCGAAGTAACCCTCCGGAGCATATTAAGCATCTTTTTGACCCTCCTTAGTAAATTTAGGGGGACCCTCCGAAGTAACTTGGGTGATTAAGCTACCCTCCGAAGTAACTTGGGTGATCAAGCTGCCCTCCGAGGTAACCCTCCGGAGTGTCTTAAGCCTTCTAACGATCTTCCTTGTTAGAGACTTGAGTAAACCTTCTGTGGCGATTTGGGAAACGGAAAATAGCCATTTAATTAGGATCATATTAGGGTATTAGGCGTGCTTATCAGGGTCATAAGAACCCATTCTGACCCGGAAATTCGTGATCAACTTTGGATTCTACATTGGGTGTATCAGAAGTACCCGAACAAAAAAAAAATTTTTTTGATTGTGAT